GCGTAAAAAGACAGTATAAGTCATTATAATCAGTAATTATGTCCCCACTGGATGCAACAAATGCCTCGTTTGTAATGGGTTTTAATGTTTTTGTCTCGTCGCTCCGGCCGGGACACGGCATCAACAGTATGTGAGGGGCGTAACATTTCCGTCTCACGCTTGAGGTATTCGGCCAATCACAACGCATTGGATAGCTGGCCAATCACAGCACACCTCGCTTTTTCAGACCGATGAGCTTTGTAAAAATCGACGCGTTTCAGAAAGGCGGGGCATAGAGGAGAAACAATAATGTACAGTATGTGGAAAATAATGTGTTTTTTTTTTACTTGAAACCGCATAAACACATTTCATTACACCAAATACACCAAATAATGTTATTTTTAGCAGCATCATATGACCCCTTTAAATGAATATACTTTAACAATCTAGAAGTATTTTTTACAACAGCTGTACTATTATTACATATGGAAGACTTCTCTTATTGTCATTTTACTGTGATATTCCTGTATCACACTATCACTAGATCATTGCATTACAGTAAGTCAGATCTGTATGGTCAGATGGCAAGTGTCTTGCATTAAAGCATGTGACATGCTTTTCGTTTGACTCTTGGTGTGAATGAGTCTTTATACTGCTGTGCTGATCCTTTCCAGAACATTTGGATTAGAAGAACTTGTCACTTTCACTGTTCCAACTCTAAATCTGCTTAGTGCCTTTGAATAATGAATCTCTTTTATATGCGGTTTACTCTGGGCTAAAAAAGAAAAAAAACAACTGGGCTAAAATAAGCTGGCTTGTCACGTGCATACTGTGCATTGTTTACACTTATCAACGGTACAGCTCTAAGAACACTTACATTAATGCAACTACACCTATAAAAATGCTTCTTCTAAAGGAGCCTTGTTAAGTCACCTCCTTCAACGAAGTGAGTGAAATGCTGCAAATGTTATCAGATGTGATATAGCATCAAAAAAGACATTTCTGCAATTATCGTGCTTATATGACTTGTTTTATATTTATATATAAGTTTTATATTTGTAACTTTTTTGATCCTTTTGATTTCTTCAATTGCAGTTTACTTAATCAGCAAAATAACAGAAGTGACAAATTCCACAGACTAATTTTACTCTGATTCATATAGAATCCATTCACGGCATGTGTAATGTTATCCATTTTATTTATCCTAATGAATAATCTTACTCAATAACTTGTGCGGTCACTGTTTTGAGCACAAGCCTGAAGATGACATACCTGCATTACAAGTTTCCATTACTTAAACACCTAGAGTGAATAATTTAGTGAAAAGCAGACATTAATGAAGATTCTTCAGTTGTGTCTCTTCTGTTAAGTAAACTTGTAAATAGCGGTGCTCCGACTGATTGGCTACCGATCACTATCGGCCGATAATCATGTTGGGATGATTGATCGGCGGTCTCTAAAAGGCCGATCTCAAAAAAACGATCTCAAGCTGATGACGCTGCCGTGAGAGGTTTGGCACGACATGCAGCGGCACCGACTCAGTCTCTGTCCGGCGCGGATGAAATAATTATAATGCTGAAGGTGAGGTACTCTCCTCTCCTGTAGACCGTGCGCTCATGCACACTCGCAGCACACACACATAATGCCAGGTTCACATTACTCCGTTTGCAGTGCGTATGTGGTGCGTATTTTTTCCGCGCTCATGTTAACGGATTAAAGCATTCACACTGCACACGGCAGTGCGTTCAGGAGAGGTGCGTCTGCAGCAGTGCAGAGATTGTTTCTGAGTCTATTTTTGCTGTGATACACACGCAGAATTAAAGTGACAGCGCATTGTTTGCAGTACATATGAAAACGAAAATGTAGCAGTTGCCCCATAAATGCATATACAGTGGGTACGGAAAGTATTCAGACGCCCTTCAATTTTTCACTCTTTGTTATATTGCAGCCATTTGCTAAAATCATTCTCCGTATGCGGTGCATATTTTTTCCACGCTCATGTTAACGGATTAAAGCGTTCACAGTGCAGCAGTGCAGAGATCGTTTCCGCAACGAGTCTATTTTTGCTGTGATACACGCGCTGAATTAAAGTGACAGCGCATTGTTTGCAGTACATATGAAAACGAAAATGTAGCAGTTGCCCCATAAATGCATATAATTAAAGTATACTGTCTTTCACAGTCAACACATATGGCTTGTTGGCTAGTTTTAAAGGAAAAGAGCACTGTTAGATAAACAAGGCAATAATAGATGGCACTCGTGGAGGTAGGAAAACAAAGTTCTTTATGAACCGCAAGGTTTGCTAATAAAGATTTTAATGCAAAAGGAAAGGCACTAGAGCTGACTATTTCTATCAATGGTAAGTTTGTGATAACGTAAGAAAAGTAGTTTAAATGTTTTGCCACTTGCTTGAGCAACTTAATATATAAATATAGAATTAAATGCAAAAGTAAAAAGCATTGAATGATGTGGTGCTTATATTTATTGTGTTTAAACATGTCTGTCAAAGATTGTATTACTGTACTGCGTAAAAAAAGAATTGCAATGCTGAAAAAGCATTTTCAGTGACAATGTTTGGATTTGAAATCAAAATAATGGAATGATTATAATGTTGGAATAAATGTTGTGTTTGTGGTAAACAGCCACAGATCAGTAGCGGACTCCTGTGTGAAAGCTGCTTCTCCTCTCACAAGAGTGACTTAAGAGGGGAATTTCCCCCATTTCAAAAATGAAATTCATGCCCTGAATAAATGTCTAAAAATCCTGATTGAAGTATCACTATAAATTGTTATAAATGATAAAAAGAAGGCTTTAAAAAGATCGGTATCGGCAGATACTGCTTTCTGTAATCGGCGATCGGTGATCGGCCTCAAAAATCCTGATCGGAGCACCCCTACTTGTAAATATCAACATTTTTTCAAATATGTGCATTTCAGTTCATGCAAAGAATACTTACTGTTCTCTATTGGTATTACTAGTAGTAAGTAATAGGTTGATTCATCATTAAAATAATTGTGTAATGTGTTATATAATATAGTAATATAATAATATAAAGTAATAATAAAGTGCACAACAAAGGAGTAGAATCCAAAAGGTACTTTTAATAAATCCAAGGAGAAAACATGGGGGGGAAACCAACATCCATATACAAACAATACCTGACCATGAACTGAGGGTATAGATACAATGGGAATGTAATCAAGAGGAAGAGAAACAGGTGTGTACTAATTAATAGCCAGGGAGACAAACTTGGGAACCAGGAGAACAGGAACACAGAGAAAACTAAGCCAAAACATAACATAAACGTGACAAAATGCTAATAATTGTTCAGGGTTTTTTTTTTGTTGTTTTATTTTAATCTTGTTGTTTATGTTTTGTCCAGGGCATTGCAGTCTTGGACTTGGACTATGACTTGGAAATGATCACGTTAAAGCATAATGGTGTATGAATAGTTTGCAATTATTGGAAAATATTACTATGGCTTGTCAATTACTGGTACCAAATGGATCAACCTTCACTTTTATCCCAGAATCACACTTTACACATGTGTCAAGTCATTATTAGTCCAGGAAAAGTCTCGCTGCTTTCAAAGTTCAGTGTTTTTGATAATGATTGATCTATGAACACTGAACAGAAATCCAAGATCAAATGCTCAGATGGCCTTTGTTTGTAATTGTCACTAAGTGCCAAGCCCCTCCATATACAATGTATCTTTAGAGACATTGAGACATTCAATATATACCAAAGAATGGGTATCAAATTTTGTGACAATATCTTATTCCATTTTCTGGGCATGACTGTACTGAGTTACAGTTCTCTAGTTGATAGTAATTGTTCTCGAAGCAAAGTTTTTCTGGTTTTACTTTGTTTCCAGTACAGTGGATTAAAAAGAAAGAAAGAAAGAAAGAAAGAAAGAAAGAAAGAGAGAAAGTGATTGTCACGCAACTTTTTTTCTGTCATTTTGAGATGTAGCCTAAACTTGCATTTGTGAAGTCAGAATTGTGAGATATAAAGTCACAATGATCTTTTTTTATACTTTGATGAAAATTGTTCAAATAATTGGTTCAAATAAAATATCAAACGCAATTATTCATATGGTTTTATTGAACAAAACAGTTAAATACATAATGTAATAAAAAAATATAATCATAACTTATGTACATTGTGTATTATATCAAATGCCAGCAGAGGGCGCCGAAGACCGGACAATTGTTTTTACACCATGTGACCCAGTGTTTCCACTGCCATTATATTACAACGGCACCCCCCGCCCCCCTTGAAGTTCAAGTAAATTTTATTTAATTATATTTTCTCTATAGCGTCAGATCACAACAGAAGTTGTTTAAAGTTACCTTTCCGATAGAACAGGTCTATACCTTGTTATTTTATTAAACAAATTAAATAGCCTTATGTTATTTATCTTATTTACACGACGGCATGTCATTTCAGTCTTTACCTTATGGTCGCGCTCTCTATCGCGCACAGCAGAGTTCCGCCCCGTCACTTGTGGATGCGCGTTCACGACAGTACCATGACGCGAGCGTGTGGCGGCACCGGCGCTGACCCATCTTACGGTTTCGAACAACACGAGGGTGAGTAATTAATGAAAGAATTTTCATTTTTGGGTGAACTAACCCTTTAATGTCTGTAGGCCTTACAGTTTGGGCTGCACAATCATTTTAGTGGAGAATAATAAAATATTTTTTTAAATATTTGAAAGAATAGAAGTTACTAGTGATGTTGATACAGTTAACAGATGTCAACACAGATGTGAGAAGCTTCCTTTAGTCATTTTCTAATATTTGCCTTATTTTTCATATTTTCATTTAAAAATGAAAACTTCATGTGCCCACCTTGCCCAACAAGCACAAACTGTGTTACAACTAAATGTGAGAAGAGATAAAAACTAAAACTATGGGAGAAAAGATTTCAGTATGAACACATAGTGTGAGCAGTTTGTGCCTGATTCCCGAACAAATAACTAACATTCTTCATTATTTACCAAATTTGAAAAAGAATGATATGAATGAATGAAACAAAAGAATCCATGTGTAGTCCAGTGGAATAACTCCAGCAATATCTATTGTTCAATTTGTGGGAAATCGGGTGACAAGATCGGAAGACAGAATAGAAAGCTGACATATGGCTCTATCCACTTTTATGGGCTCACCTCTCTCATTTGGTACAAATCCAAATGTTTAAATTTTTTGTGAGTTTACATTTGGTTGCTAATAGGGCTGGAATGACGTGTCAATGTAAACGATGATGTCGAAGATGTCGATTCTGTTTATGTTCATCACTAGCAGTGGCCATTGAAGCAAATCATGCTTAACATTATTCACAGAAACTAATGGCCGAATACATTAATTGTCCATTGTTAATAGCATAGAGATGCATGAAGCACTACTCACTTTCAAACCAAGCAGCTTTCTGTTGGTCAGTGTGGCATGACAGATCTGAACATGACTGAAATCTGCTTGGTGAACTTTTTCACCCTGATATGAAACTCCTGATTACCTGAATTCCTATTGCAAAAGCAGGATACAGCCCATAAAATGTCTCTGTGCTATGTTAAATGTGGCCACACCTTTACAAACGAATTCTTGGGAAACTTGTGCTGTATGAACATAACTGCACTGGAGAGTTAGTTGTCTGCCCTATCATATAGTTTGAGTATCACATTCAACTATGCCTAACTACATTGTTATAAATGTAAAAAACAAGAACTCATACGGGGCAATTCATATCTTTTTGAGGACATTTTTATTAATTTTGGTTGCATTTCCTACTTTGCACAATGCTATTTTAGACCAATGCCAGACTAGCTTGCTTGTTTGTTTCTTTCTTTCTTCTGTTGAACACAAAATAAGTTATTTTGAAGAATGTTGGAAACTGAACAGTTGATGGTAGCCACTGATAGTATTTTTTTTTCCATACTATGAAAGTCAATGGCTACCATCAATTGTTTGGTTACCAATATTCTTCAAAATACCTTCTTTTGTGCTCAAGAGAAGAAAGAAACTCATACAGGTTTGGAACAACTTGAAGGGAGTAAATGATGATAGAATAATTATTTTTGAGTGAACTATCCCTTTTATGCTTAATGGAGGGCAATTGCCTAAGTTAGGATGGCATGTATTGAGATTTTTTGAAAGTGGTTTAATTTCACAACAGTGACAAGCAGTGCTAAAGCTTAGGGCAAACACAGTTGTTACCTGGCTGTCACCAATGAAGACAGGTCAGAGAGAGATAGATGCTGCTCCGCAGGGCGCTTGATTTGCGTGTGTTTGCGTTATCTGTAGTGGCTGTGACGAGATGTTGAAGGGGGGAGTGGCAGGGGCTCACATTTAATAAAAAAATGTATGCCATGGGCTATATTTAATTAAAAACTAAAATATAAAATAAAAAAAGAGCATAAGGCTACATCTAGTCAGAGGCCAAAAAATCCCAGGTGGTTGAGCACCACTTTCAGACACTTTGTACAACCTTAAACCATGGCACTTACACACACACACCTACACACAAATTTTCCTCTCCTTTGCATTTCACCTTTCCTAGTCTAGCTTTCTAATAAACCTAGTATTGTACACTGTTAGAGAATAGTTTTTGGCTCTGTAACAAATTATGATTGACGTAATTTGATCTGTATCTGTAGAAAGTCCTGTTGTTTGCATCGGTCAGCTTAAGTTTGAACTTAGATGTACAGTAGGTCAGTTAGTTATTTCGAGCCACATCCCAAAATGTAATTGGCTTATATCTTTTCAATGGTTTGACTAATCTAAATTCTTTTAATACATTTTTGTCATGATGGTCTCATATCAAATATGTGTGAGTCTATCAAACGCCATATGAAAAGCTAGGAAAAAGAGGGTTTTACAGAACATTAAATTTTTTTTACTACATAGTTTTATATTGTAACAACGTTTGTAGTCACGGGAAGAAGGAGGCGGGAACCGGCGAACATTTAAATACTTTAATAACATAAACAAACACAAAATGAAAGTAAAGCGGCAGCCCCTCGCGGACGACTGCCGCACACAAAACACAAAATAAAGTCCAGGCCTGGTCCTCTCTCGTCCAACACTGTCGTCACTCCTCCTTTTATCCTTCCGGAGCTCCTCCGTGGGACTCGAGACCGGTGAGTGGCACAGGTGTCGTGCATTAGCATTTACTCCACCGGCCTCGCTCTGTTCCCACGGCTCTCGGCCCCGCCCCTCTCGTCACATAACCCCATCGCCCCTCGCAGGCCGGGGGGTACTCACAAGACTGCGCTCTACTCCACCCCTCTGGGGGAGCCGATCACGGCGGCCGCAGCATACCTGGGGGTAAGGACAGACAGACGAGGCGAGAGAAAAGGAGACGGAAAGATGAGGAGAGACAGAGACGAGAGAGAGGAAAAAAAAAAAAATCTTGTTCCGGTTCCCAGACACACTGCTGCTCGGCCCTCCACCAGCTGGGTAAACTCTTCCGCGATGCCAGGCGGCGGCACTGGACAGCCCTCGGTGGACGGCCCGACACTCCTCCGCTGCCCGGTGGACGGCGACGGCTCTTCCGGGTTCGGGCAGCCGGCAGGAGTCCCTTGTTCCCTGCTCCTCCCCATCACATATATATTTTGAAATTAAATTGTTGACTTATAGACCACCCCACCAAGTTTATATTCTCTGGGTTTTATGGTCTCTGATGCCCAGATTCTTAAAGGGATCCAAAAATGAAAATTCTGTCATCATTTACTTACCCTCAAGTTGTTCCAAACCTGTTTGTTTCTTCCTTCTGTTGAATATAATTGACAATATTTTGAAGATTGTGGATAACAAAACAGTTGCTGGCCCCCATTGACTATCATAGTATGGGGGGGAAAATACTATGGAGGTCAATGGGGCCCAACAACTGTCTGGTTACCAAAGTTCTTAAAAATATTTGTGTGTGTGTGTGTTTAGCAGGAGAAAGAAACTCATACAGGTTTGGAACAACTTGAGTGTGAGTAGGCCCTAAATGATGGCAGAATTTTCATTTTTGGGTCAACTATTACTGTAAGAATCTGGGCAAAAGGTGGAATGAAGATCAGTTCAAATACAATAGGGTTCTAAGAATACACCAACAGCACTGATCGCTATCAGCAGATATTTGTCTTAACCCTGTCTGTTCCTTTTCAGTTTGGGTTGCATGGATAAGAACTTGAACACAAAAAGGTTGAAAGAACCTGAAAGAACTTGAAAGAAATTAAGTCATAGACTAGATACAAAGTACGTTCATTGACATAATATTAAATGAGTAATATGTTGATGTTTGAGTTTTTACTGTACTATACTACAAACGTTTCACCAGCACAGATGCACATGGTTAGCTTACAGTGTCAAGAAATCCATGGTGAGAAGTGTTTGTAATTGTTCTGTGTTAAGCTGCACTTAAGAAAAAGCAATTAGAACCATTCTGGAATATTTGTGTGATGGTGGGAAATTGGCTAATGATGATAGACTGTTAATCGCTACACTGTAAAAAAAAATCCGTAAAATTTACGGTAAAAAACCGGCAGCTGTGGTTGCCGGAATTTTACCGTACAAAAAAACGGTAGCAAAGTTTTAGTTTTTACGGTTTTAACTTAAATTTACAGTTAAATACCGTAATTTCATTAACTGATAAAATGTTATTATATACCAACCTATTGAAGTACTAAAATCTGTTTTGTACCTTTGTAATACACTGATAACCACCAAATGCAGGTGGTGATGAGAAAGTCACATGATGAACCAAAGCCTATCACAAGCAGCTTTTAAATAATAACATATATAGAAGGTGCACAGTATCATTCACACAAACACCAAACACCATCATGGTAACACACATGAAACTGAAATAATGCAATAAACATTCATTTAACAAAATTAGGTGTAACACACAACCCTAATATACAAAACTGATAAGAAAAAACTAAGAAGAAACATAGGTTTCAGAAAGGCGGGGAATAGAGGAGAAACAATAATGTATTCTTTTTAGCAACATCATATGACCCCTTTAAGCATTTGGGTTAGCTTCAGATACTCTGCATATGGATCTGGGTGTGATTTGCTATATAATTAGCAGTGACAGGTTTAGCAAGTTGAAATGGGCCTTGTAATATTCTCGCATAATGAGCTTTCTGTGTTCATTGAAGACTGGAACTTAAACAGTTTAGATTTTTTTTCTCAAACACAACATTTGACCCAAATGGTGAAGGTCAATTTGATTTCTATTTAATTGAGTACATCGTGACCTGAGGCAGTGTTTCCAAAATCTGTTTTCAACAAATTATGTTCAATTACTTCGAAGTGTTACTTGGAAATGTGTTGTAAACTCTGTTTCAGAGAGTTGTCTGTTGTCTGTTTCACACAAACTCTTATATAAATCATTCAGATCTGTTGGTTATAACTCTCTGAGGTTTGTTCTACCCAGCATCCCAGAGCTCCACCTCTGTTATTATGAGTGCTTTAATATTTGTCATTCAAACTGTATAATTTTATCTATAACGCGATTCAAATAGAATATTTATCCATTTTTCATTCTGTATTTTTGGTGCCTAATTTCACTAAAAAAGCAAGACATGAGAACTTTGCACTCTTTCTTTGCAGAACCTGTCCTCTTGGTCCATATAGGAAAAGTTATTAAGAATATGACCCGTCATTGGCTTTCATCTGCATCTCTACATTATCCCATTGGATCTCGCGTTTGTTTGCTGCTCTCATCAGACATTTGGATGTCAGAACTGCAAGTGTAAGAGAGTCGAATGCCTATGATAGGAGACAGCAGAAGCCACAGTCAGAAGGGATTGTGAAGGAGTTGAGAGTCTTGACTTGAAAGATATGACAGAGCATGCTGAGCTGCTAACAGAGATGGCAACTATCGGCCGTCTCTCAGCCACTGAGCGCCTGAAGCATGCGCAGAAGAGACGGGCACAGCAGCTGAAAGGCTGGGCTCAGATGGAGAAGGACAGTGCCCGTAGTCAAAAGGGCAACCACAAGGGAGATGGGGTGAAGAAAAGCAGAAGGGTGACCTTCAGCACCAGTGTGACGTTACTGGAGGCTGCAGCCAGGAATGACATAGAGGAGGGTAAGAGTAAGAGACTAGCAATATTGCACATCTGTTTCACTAATTGTAATAACTGTAGAAATTCCACACACCCCTGTTAAAACTTCAGGTTTTTGAAATGTAAAAAATAATCCAAGATAAATCATGCTAGATCTTTATCCACCTTTAATGTGACATTGAAAGCAGTTATAATTTAGTTTTTCATGACAATTGTATACCTGTCTCTTACTCAAAACATAGTTTTTTTGCTACTCTACCTCCAAGACTTTCATGCAAATGCAAATGTAAGCACATGCTTACACTGTGTTTGCACATGTTACCTTGTGCCTTTTTACTGTGGAAATCAAGACTACATACTTTAACAAAAATAAAAACAATTAGAAAATAAAATCCTATGGGGTTTTTAACAGAGGTTGACTGGTAGGCTAAAAAATGTCCAAATAAATTGTAGGGCCAATAATGTCATAAATTGTCCAAAATGTTAATAGTTTGTAGTTTTGGTGACCTTAGAGCATTTGTGTCTGTTGGCAGTACGAGAGTTGCTCAATAATGGAGTCAGTCCAGACTTGTTCAACGAGGACGGGCTCACTGCACTTCATCAGGTACATGCTCATCAACAAAAACAACACACACACACAGGCTGAAACACAACAAGAACAACAGCTCATTTTATATTGTTTCAACTTGTAAACATAATAAACATAAATACACAAAATCATAATGTTCAGTCTCTGAAGTGTAGTCCTCAATAGACTTACATGAGTTTTTTTTTAAAAGTCACTGTCTAAATAAAAGTCTTCCAACACTTACCAGCCACACAGAAAAACGACTAAAAAAATGCTGACAAAAAAGGCCAAATGGCGATATATTAGTAGACCACTACACTAGTCAATTAGTTAGTTGTTGGATGACCTTTCGATTAGTTGAACATCTTGTCACATCCCTACTCTTGAATCATGTTCTCCACAGACAGTAGTTCAGATAACCATTGAGTTTCTTTGCAGAGCTGCATAGATGATTTTTTGGATATAGCACGCTGTCTTCTGGATGCGGGCGCAAACGTGAATGCGTGTGACAGTGAGCTGTGGACCCCACTACATGCAGCGGCCACCTGTGGACACACTGACCTCGTCCAGCTGCTGATAGAAGCGTGAGTCTCAATTTATAATTCATTTATTGTGCTGATCTTACTGCTCTGTAATACAAAACTTTTATTCTTGTATAAGTATATACAACCTATATATAAACTTCTATTACTGTATAAATAGTGTGTTCCCTGTGATACAGACTGTCTGAGTTCATGTGTTCAGGGGTGCAGATCTGTTGGCGGTGAATGCAGATGGAAACATGCCGTATGATCTGTGTGAAGACGAGGCTACGCTAGAGCTCATAGAGATGATCATGGCAGAGCAGGGTGAGGGTTGCTTTAATATACCTACTACTGAGCTAAATCAAACCTCTTATGCTCAGTGTTGAGGAACATTACTTTTAAAAGATACATTATTTCACTGCTCTTGACAAACAGTAACTCGTTCTTTTATGGACGGTAATTCATACGATTATTTTGTGTTATATTTGCTTTTAAAGAGCATGTTAGTACAGTAGGGTATTTCTCTAGAGCAGGGCTTCTCACTTTTTCATGTTGCAACCTACCTAAAATCATTGCGATCCCTGAAGAACAACTTTGCATTTGTTTTCTTTTAAAATACCTTTTTTTTTATTATTATTTTGTTTGTTGTTGTTGTCATTATTATATTGGTTACACATACATCTACTTATCAGTTTCATTGTGTACCAGAAGTTATGGTAAGCTATAAAAACAGAGATGCATTGAGAAGAAATTTTTGAGCTAGTACGAAAACCAATAATTCAGATGTTGATCTGGCCAGCACTCAAAAAATATTTTTAATTTGACTTTAAACCCTTTAACATTAAGCTACTATCTAATGAATTAAAAATGACGGAATCAGTGAGACTGTATTACAAATGTTAGGTTCATTTTATGAGAAATATATGCTAGAAATATATACAAAATGTATATACAAATAGAAAAAAAGAAATATGGTAACACTTTACAATAAGGTACCATTAGTTAATGTATTAACTAACATGAACAAACAAAGAACAATACATTTATTACAGTATTTATTAATCTTTGTTAATGTTAGTTAATGAAAATACAGTCGTTCATTGTTAGTTCATGGTAATTCATAGTGCATTAACTATTGTTAACAAGCACAACTTTTGATTTTAATAATGCATTAGTAAATGTTGAAATTAACATCAACTAAGATTAATAAATGCTGTAGAAGTATTGTTCATTGTTAGTTCATGTTAATTAAAGTAGTTAACTAATGTTAACTAATTAACCTTATTGTAAAGTGTTACCAGAAATATATACAAATCTACACAGGAAATGAGTAGTTTGACACAACAAAAGTTGTTTTTGTAATGGGTTACTTATTTGAAAAATTAATCCTTATGGTCCCAATATATTACAGATTTAAAATGAAATCTAAATGTACTGTATAACACATGCTTCTTGCAAGTATAAGAGAACAGACCCAGCTAAATGACGACTTTCTATGTCAACTGTTTTAGTAGCAGTTTTAAACCATTTTTATAGATTAGTTGTTGCAGTTTGCAGTACATTTAAACAGTGCTTCTCTAAACAGCTCACACAAATCTTCAGCTCCGTTAGAAGAGAGCACAAACACTTGCTATTATCCATATGTTTGTATTTAGGGATTACCCAGGAGAGAATTGATGAATGTCGCGGAGCCAAGGAGAGAGCAATATTGTCTGACCTTCAAGAGCTGGTTGCGAGCGGAGCTGATCTGAATGTGAAGGACGAGCAGGGGGCCACTCTGGTAAGACTCAGCAGTGCAGGTAGAGAGGACGATCATTTAGAATGTTACAAAAACTGAAGATCTTGTGTGTTCTCTGTGTAGCTGCATATAGCAGCTGCTAATGGATACGTGTCAGTTGGGGAGCTGTTGCTGGAGCACAGAATATCTCCTAACGACAGGGATGCTGACGGGTGGACGCCGCTTCATGCTGCTGCCTGCTGGGGACAGGTGATTATTGAGACACATGAGGGTTTAGTGCATGAAAACAAAATTGATCACATTTATTTTCTTAAAGGCACAATGTGTAAGTTTTCGCTGCTAGAGGGCGCGTATTCAAAACAAACAAAGAGACAAAGGCGTAGTTTGGTGACGCCGTGACTGAGTGTGGAATCATGGGAGTTGTCATCTTTATTCCCACAGCCGATGCAATCCGACGGGACTCGGGCAGAAATCATATTCATGGATGAGCTAATGATTTATTAACGTCGTCGTAAGAAGCAGGGTGAGGCTGAAAGCCGTCGAAGAGAAATGAGGCCACTGAACGAGCGTAACACACGGCTTGAAGGCAGCGGAGCTTTTATTATGCCACAGTCGACCGCTTCCACTCCTTCCGGTCGTGCGTATGTGGGGGAAAAAAAAGCAGGGCTATTTTATCATACTAGATACATTTGAAAGTTCTGTTATTATGCTACTCTGTGCGGTCGTCACCAGTCTAATAAAACACACAACATATTAAAGCGTCTTTGGTGTTTCCATGTTTTCTACAAAACAAAACCAGAAATCGAGGGGTTATGACGTCATTAGCAGGCGACACAATGACACATATGGACACGGTCCGTGTTTTTGGATATTTTAATTTAAAAAAATCTTACATATTGTGCCTTTAATGCATGTTACTGGTCTTGTTATACATTTGATTAACTTTGTAATCTTTTATCAAAATATCATAAATATCAAGTTGGTCACAACTTCCATTGTTTCATTGAAAGCACAGTTGCATAGGGAGTATTAAGTTATATTGTAGACTGCTTCTTCGTAAAAAATTTGAATGATGTTGAAGACCATAGAACAAGCTATAGCAGTAAAAAGTTACAAAGCATGGAAGCAATTTATATGAAGTGCTTTTAGAAAGTTAGTTTCATGTGACTTGTGTGCTTGAAATACCTTTACTTTACACTTTACAATTACACTTATTATTCAGACTTTGGCAAAAACTGATATTTTTGTGCAGCACATTAGCAGCCACCTTCATTGATGGTGTTCCTGAGCTGCTCTTTGACATAAAATGTGTTACATTGATGATGTATGTTGTACAGATGGATATATACATACCTTATACTGTAACGCTAGGTAAAAAACACTCACATAGCTACTTCAGGAGGTGAAAAAAACAAATGCTGTGTAAATTATTTCAAGTATATATTCTGTTATAACACATTACAAATAAATCTCAGAAATTAACATAATTTTTTCCATCCTACTGTTTTTTTTTTTATCTTGGAAAATGGACGAGAAATGTTTATGATGGCTAAGGGTATGCCCCTTAGAAATAAACATTTCTCGTCCAATTTTATAGTTTTTTGTTTAATAAAATAGAATGAGAGAAGGAAAAGCTCTTATTAATTATTTATTTATTTGTGTTCTGCCCCACCTTCCTATTTACTAAGTAATAAATGGTACACTTAGTAATAGTAAACATGTAATGGACTTTAATTCATAAAGTTGGCAAAAACATATTAACTTTAATATCAGAATTAATGTCGATTCTTCAGTGATTGTGTCTTTCTTCACTCTTAGATCCAGATGGTGGAGCTGCTGGTAGCTAATGGTGCAAATTTAAACGCCAAGTCTGAGCTGGATGAGACGCCTCTGGGTATGACACATTCCAAAGGTTTGATCAGGAGTGACTTGACTGGAGGCTTCACAATACTTTTTGTTATTTTATAGATGTGTGCACTGATGAGGAGGTCCGGGCCAAAATGATGGAGCTGAAACACAAACACGATGCCATCATGAAGGGTCAGGACAAACACAAAAACACACTGCAGAGACGAGTGTCCAGCACAGGCAGCAGAGGGTGAGTGCTGATGAAGAGATTGCAACGCCACACTTCACATCTTGTGATAGTTGTATTAAAAATTAAGTCTAATATATTCTCTCCCTTTAGGTTTAATAAGAAGTTGTTGCTACAGAAAAGAATTGATTGTTTTTTGTAATTGTTATGAGGTGTAGTTTGAAGCATGTAATGCATGGCACAAAGCACACATGAAAACATTCCAGAAAATGATTTTCCATAGTTAAAAAGTAGTTTTTAATTCTCAGAATTTAAAAAGTATGTATACTGTGCAACAGCACAAACTATGAGGGAAAAAATGACATTTGTTTAGAGCTTTTTTATAAAAGTAAGTGGAGATGGCAAAGATGCCGAAAGACTACTATATATGCTGCCATGACTTGACTGCAAATAGCTACAATACGGATCTATTCAGAATGACTATACACACCAGAATACATGAGAAATATAAAAATTTCAAATCTATCGAAACTTAGCAATCTGAAGGTGACCACATGAGTGAACAGTTCCTCTGTCAGTGTGGTTGTTTCATTTGCTTTGAGCATCTGGTGCCAATATGTGGGTCAAAGACAAAAAGGGTTTTTCAAGCATCAAAACAGTAAAAGTTTAATACAGCTTTACATGTATTTATTTTTCCCCCCCCATAGTTTATTATGTGTCCTGTTTAATTTTATTTTTGGGAGGGTTTTTTATGCGACATCTCATCTTTGACCCA